TAGTAATCCGTACTTTTGATATAGTGCCTTTCATGTTAGGAGGACATCTCAAAGCGCTTCACATAATATACTGTAAAGTGGAGTGCAATGATAGAGGAAGTGACATAAATCAAATCTTGTTACCTGTACATTATTTGCAGGTTTTCCTTAAGCTTGCTGTTTCAGGCTTTCTTATGACTAAAAAGTTGCATAACAAAAGTTGTGAAGGTTAACTACGTATCTATAAATCGGCGGAGATGCTGCAACTGACTAAATGCAATAAACAGTTGCACAGAAACTACAAACAATAAATTTATATATAAATATATATATATATATTTTCTTCTAAGCATCACATTGTCCACTTGTTTTGTACAGTAATGGGATACCATCTTTGTCTACCATCTTTGGTTACCAATCACCTGTGTGTACAGTATAAGACATCTGCTGCAAAGCAATGTTTTCATAACACTAATATTTCAATTGATACTACTGTAAAGCTCTCCTGAAATGTCTTGGAGAAAGATACGTAACTAGGTGCTTCTGTTAAATAGCTGCTAAGAGGTACCATCTTTTTTATTGAGAAACCTAGGTGAAGAGCTAAGATCCAAAAGGCTGTGGATGCTGAATCCATTCAAATTTTCAAGGCTAGGGTGGATAGATATTTGTTAAGTAAGGGTATCAAGGGATTATGGGGCAAGGTCAGGTAATTGGAGTTCAGGTACAGATCAGTCAAGCTCTTAAGAATGGCAGAACAGGCTCAAGGGGCTGAATGGCCTACTCCTGTTCCTATGTTCCAATTGAAAGTATTGAATACCAAGGTTGAAAAGAGATGGTGGTTGGGTATAAAGCATACAATACAATTTAGATTATTATCGCGACTTTCATGTTGGAAAGGCATCTCAAAGCACTTAAAAGCATATGTTGTAAAGGTCTACAGGTGGAAAGAACTGTTAAGGAAGGTAAGGAGGTCCACAGCTTTAAAAATTCCCCAAAAGAATCAGCTTTGGTTTCCTCTTAGTATTGAAATCAAAACTCATAACTACATCAAACTCGTTTCTACCTAGGAATTTAAAATCTCTCAAGCAAACTGCCACAACTTTGGATAGTTGGCATTCATTGATTAGATGTTTGCTTGTGTAAAAAGGTAATTAAATTCTTTATTGATCCAAAGTAATGCTATTGGCAATCAAATAAACTTTGAGATGACCTTATGTTCAAATGCAGGAGAAGTACAGTAAATAAAACTCACATAAGCCGCATCAGTCAGGACCGTAACATTTAATATGAATTACGTGAAGTCCGAGTTCAACATAAAAGATTCCTCTTTTCACCAAGTGAACTTTTGAACTAACATAGTTTCCAAAGAAGTATTCACATTACTGAATGTTAGTAAAATGCAGTTTTGTGCTTGAATACACTGTAAATAATATTTGAAAAATTAAAACGGAGTTGGTTGTTTTCATCTTAAATGGCTTTTACAGTAAACAGGTCAGAATGGTAAATGGCATGATGGGGGAAGAAAAATTAGCTGTCTAACCAAACCAGCATAAATAAATTAAAATTGGTAAATGCATGGCATGGTACTTATCCAGCGAGGACCACTCAATCAATTGAATGTTTGCCTGCAAGGTTGACGTCATGCCTGTATCTTCTACTGTTGCCTTGGCTCACTGTGAACCTGCTTTTTGCCCAGTCGCCAGTTCAACTCCATGGACTTCCTTGCTTAAAGCTGTCCCTCAAGAAAGATATTTATTTTTAAGCTTAAATGAATAGGACCAAAAAGATGAATCTATCTCTAGGACACATTTTTTAGATTGGATTAAGAGTTAACTCCTGAAACCTTTGCTATGCATTCACATATTCTTGCATCTTCCCTGACACATGTGTTTTTCTTCCACAAATGATTAAGTGGATGGTGTAATTGAAGACTTTGTTCCTGTGTGAAATTGCCTGTGAAAATGACATAGTAAGTTTACACTACAGCCGAGGGACCAGTGACATTTATCTATAGTTATAAGTGGAAAGGAAGTTACAAGAAACCTGGATTATCAACATCATTGAATGCAGAACAATGAGAAATTTAATTTAGAAACTCTCGTTGCAATAAAAGAGTATCATTCACAATGTAGCAAGGGGAATCTAAAGCTTTAATTACAGACCAAGTCCTCATTATCCCTCATTATTTTGAAATTGGCAAATGTGCAGAAAGAATTAAGATTTTAGAAGACAGAAAAGCAGAGTGAAGAAGCAGCAACAAAATTACGTTTATACAGCATCTTCCATGTCAGAGCGACATCCCAAAGCACTGGGCAAATGCGAGAGAGAAGGCAGCTGTTTTACTGCAATCAGTGATGCGCTTCTTGTTTATATTAAATGAGTAAGAAAAATGATGAGTGAGCAATACATTTGTATTATAAGTTCACAAATTGACTGATCCAGGCTGTTGCTTTTAGTTTTAGTACTTTTCAGATGTACAACTTCATAAACTGTGTGACTATACTCAGAATTAATTACTTTGAATGGTGGTTTGCAGCTGTATTTGTTTGGTAACAGTGTGGGGAAATATTACAATTCATTGAAGGTGTACATGGAAATATTTCACAGCAAGTTTACCCATTTGCATGGACCACGATTGGTGAAAGGTTTTAAAACTGTCTGCAGTTTTTAGAGCCATTTAAAAAACAAATGCCATCCTTCAATACTAAAAATCAGTGTTTCTTATCTGATGATTTATGCTGGGTTGAATTTTATTGGACACAGCAGCCCAAGTTCATATGTGAGCCATGACAATTGAGTGTTTGTTGGCAGTCAGTAGTGGGATCCATTTCTTATTTTATTTCCACAACGTAACACCATCCTGGAGTAGATCAACTAACCCAACACTTTGTAAAGATCAGTATGCAGCAAGTAATAAGTATGTGTTCTGTTTCTATTAAAAATCTATTCAGAAGATTATGACACAGTGGAATTAAACGGATAGAAATTACCCTTCTATTTTAAATGAGAGCACTTGCTGTATAAGAAGACGATCGCTTTAGATGAATTTGCTTTTGGAGTTGAAATGGTTATTGAAACTCTCTGCGAAACATGTACCTTCAACTTTGTACCTTCAACTTTTATACACCTTGCCAATGAGCATTTAATTTTATTAAGGTGTCAGGGTGGAGGGCGCTATATAAATCCAAGTCGTTGTTGTTTATAAAGGTAACTTATAATAATAATACTAATAAATAATAATAATCCTTCCATTTGATATAGAGCTTTTCACATCTTCTAGACATATCAAAGCACTTCACAGAATATAATATAAAGTGAATTGACTGTATATTTGTATACTTGCACTGCTTCCTGGCATTATTTAAGCAGTGCAAATCCAAGCATCTAGCAGACTTTGTCAAAGTTAGTAGAACCTTGGAGGATTAGGATCTGATTATTACTAGGATTGGAAAAGAACTTGTGTTCACAGAATGTTCCTGCTCTATGTTTTTTTTTATATTGCAAAAAAATTTGCTGACTTGCAGGTGTTCACTTAAGATTAATTTAAGTAATTTGGGCATTTGTCGGTTGAAAATACAGCTGTAGTTTTCAGTACTGTTTTGCATTTTCAACAGAATGTTTATGGATCACTTTAGTCTGATTCTGCTTAGTTATCTGCCTATCACATCTGTTTACTATTTTAGATTCTGCACTTCACAACAACACCTATTCTGCTTAGTATCAACTTAACCTAAATCAGTTTGTAGCCTCTGGTTGTGAAGAAGTCCTGCTTTGTTCTATGTTAATACTGTGGATGCCAAAACTGTATTCCGTGTCCAGATGTCCTGCACATTCACCAGAGAACAAACACTTCAATCTGATGGATTTGTTTTAGATTGTTGGATTAAGAAGTAAAGTTACTGGAAAAGCTACCTAAAGATTAAAATCTACCAGCAGAATTAGTAAATTGTAACTTTATGCATCATCCGTTTATTGCAGCATGCAGTAGATAGATATTTGAGGAGGACACATTTGCAGGGCTATGGGGAGAGAGCGGAGGAGTGGGATTAATTTGGATAGCTCTTTCAAAGAGCCAGCACGGACACAATGGGCCGAATGGCCTCCTTCTGTGCTGTATAATTCTATGATCCCCTGTTCCAACTAAGATATATTTTTTCTTGTGATTCCTATGAGCGCAGTTATGATGCTACTGCTATGTTAGGTTTGACGTAACAGCATCAGTAGTGTGGCAATCCTCTGTAAATTTGCTCAGATTCTGTTAGCATTTCACCCAGACGCTCCCGTCTTCCTTTTTAATGGAAATGCTACAGAACACATGCATCACTGATAATGGATTAAATGAGGTTTTAGTTTGTGCATAACTGAACTGTGTTGTCTAATTCTATTGAAGTGCAATGTAGAAGCAATAAAATTGAAACTATTAAGTAAAATTAAACCAATGCGCTAATAGAGAATCTGGTTGTTCAGATGTCATCTGATAAATTCTGGTATATCGTTTTCATCACTGGCATTGTGCACCTGGGTGGAACATGATTTAGATGAATATAATTGAGGACAATTGAATGCACAGAACACCAGTTGTTATAAAAACATTATATATCTTTCATAAAATTAAAGGCTTTCAGGCCACATGAACAAGGTGTGGGAGGACTGTCGGTAACTGAAACTTTATCCTAACAATTGTACCTTTGCCCCCTTTCGAAGAAGAAAAAAGAAATGAATATAGTGAAATCAGTCTATAAGGTATTAAGAATTAATAGAAATACTGGCCAGAGAAAGATGGTCAGAGTCTCAGCTATGAAATGTTGAAACTGGTCGTTCTTTTATTAGTGAAGATCTACCAACAAATGCTGTCCATTATTTTCATATAACTATCCTAACTATCATTTTTGTAACAAATTATCTACCATTTAAAGGTAGAGAGTTTAATTATTGCTGGATGCTCTCGTTTTCATTCCTGTTTTCTTTTAATGAGCCGACTATTCTTCTTTCTAGATTAACTAAAACTGCTTTCTATTTAGGACACGCAGCCTTTCGCGAATGCCCATGAAGTGCTTTCTCGCACTCGGTCCCGGTCCAATGTGCTGAATAAAGTTGAACATGCACAGCAGCGTTGGAAGAAACAGGTTCAAGAACAGCGGAAATCGGTCTTCGATCGTCATGTTGTCCTCAGCTAAAATTGAACTAGAAGAAAAACCGGAAGATAAGAAGCCAGTGGAGTTCCCAAAGTACTCTGCTAGTCTTCCCCTTGGTCCTATCTACTTGCGGAATTCTTTACTTATCATTGGCACTCCACTGCCAGTTCCCTGAGAAAATACAGTAATAATGCCATAGGTTGAATTTCTATTGCTATCATGATTTCAGTTATTTGCTTTAATGTCAGTTTCTTACAAATCATGGTATAGTTATGGGATAAACAGCACAAAATAACAGTAGGCATAATCTAATTGTAAAACATACCTAAAAGGTTTAATCTATATTATGATTTCTGTGTTACTTTAAATATTGTGAAGGCTCAAAAAGTAATTAACTTTTCATATATTTAGTAATAATACAGGAGAGTGACAGGAGTCTTAAGACTTTAACGTCTGATATAATCGCAGAATGACTGTTAACAAAACAAATACTTTATAGAATCCCCTAGGATTCAGTGTTGGAGAAAAAATTTCTATGGTAGTGTGTTTCTTGCTGCAGAATGAATCAGTGTGGAAATAACCCTGAGAAACCTATTTGAGAAATGGTGCTAGCGCGATATAATCTTCACAGCTACCTTTACACTAATGTTGATTCAAAGTGCCTGTATTTTTAGTTGATGGATTTTGCAAGCTGTCCACAGCCGTAGAACGTTATCTCCCCTCCTGAAGGCAGTGAATCTGAGGGAATGTTTCTACAGGCACTGGCAGCTCTAATGTACCTTGCCCAAGTGCCATTCTTCCAAGAGTGAGCATAGCCATGGAGTGCTTTTAGATTACTGAGCTGTGAGAGATAGTTGAGTCTGGCAATTTCCTTGCCCAACATCCTCACATGTACATTCCAGCAGGGTTCATTGCAAAGGCACAGTTACCCTGTTTGATTTCCCTCCTCTCCCTCACCCAGTTCCATGTATATGAACTTCAAATGCCATTGTATTGTATAAAAAGTGCAGGACTCCCCCCTCAAAGTTAGTTTGAAATCTATTCATGGAGAGCTATGCAAGAATGGTCTATGGTGACTCCCTTATTTTTTCTTTATTGTAGGAGACCATTTCCATCTATGAGGTTCTATGTAGGAAACCATAAGCACAAACCCACACCATGTGCAACAAAGTAGAACTTCAGTTAGGTCATGATTACTGTTGATTAATCAGTGTTTGCTGCACAAAATTAATAAACTGTTTACAGTACTTATAATCAACTTATTCTACTGTAATAAAATACTGACTACCTCTGTGGTATGTTGCAGTGACATTTGAGTAATGTGTAATGTTAAACTTTGAATCAAAATGGACCAAGTTAAATCGAGGTATATTAGGAACAAAAACTGTTGACATTCACTGAATTGTGACAAATTATGAAAGTGTTTCTTCAAAATATCTGTGAATACCTATTTACTTATACAGAATGACATGAATGAGGTTGATTTTATAGCACGCAAATATAGAATGTGAGTGAAATACATTGAAGTGCAGAAGTGCGAGATTTTCTGATACTTATTCATGCTGTCATTTTTCTTATTCGTCCTGCTTAAAATTAACTTGGAATTAACTATGACGTCTTAACTTTGTTTTTATGAACTGATTAATAAACAAAACTTTACTAAATGTGGTTTTAATTCTGTTTACTCTAAATAGTGATTGTTTATTATGTGAAATAGCAAATGTAGTGCGTATTTATATACAAGATTTCAATTTGTTACCTATTTAAAAATAATCCTTTCAGGTTGGGAGGACATTTCAAAGTGCTTCACAGTATTTAATGTAAAATGTAATGACTGTTTTGTTTGCAAACATGAGGTTTGTGCTCAATTTGCCATTATTATTCTGGGAAAACAAGTACAGATAAAATGGTACTGTTGTCATATTTACAATTTCCCATGCCTGTTCTTTTGTCTAGCCCTTTCCATGTTTGTGAAACTCAGTGCTGACTTTAAGTACTGATAATGAGGAGTGATGTATACTCATGTACACTATAAGAATAATTGCTTCCAACATTTTTTATTTTTACACACATTGAAGCCCTCATTAAAGGCTAGTTCCTGCTTGACTTTTGTTGCTCCTGCGAGATATTATACCTGAGATCTACAATATCCACTATCCTGCCTTACAGTATGTGAAATCTCAGTTTATTTAGGATGTGGCCTTTCAATCCAATGGTTGATTTACTATTCCTGGAAATTGAATTAATAATGAAACACTTGTAGTGAAATGCTTCCAGAATGACGATGAATAATAATAGAATAATAATAGCTGTTCAGCAATCAGACTTTCAAATTAAAAATAAAGTGTTGATTCTGTAGATAGTTGAGCAAAGTGTGGATCAACACCAGAAAAAATGCTACTGATTCACTAATTGGAGAAAATAGGAGCAGTAGATGTCCTGATTCCAGGGAAGTCCACTGGGGTTTGAATGAAGCGTTTTGGTTCATGAGAGCCCATAAGAAGCTCGAAAACAATGAACCAATAGAAGTTACTATAGGAAGTGACTCCTATTGGGGGAATCTAACAGCAATTTAAAAACTGAACGCTTGATTCGCAGTCACCTGCGTTAATCTGATCAGTGTGTGATTTACATTAATCTGCATTAATCTGCATTTATTTGCATAAATGACTACTCGTTTGCATAAATTAGAGCCAAGTTTCTTACGGTTTGGTTCATTTGCATACATTTGTATAATTTGCATACATTTGCATGTTTTGCATGCGATTATGTGTTTTAAATACAACTGCTCGTTTATTCCATGATTTGCGTGTATTTGCATAAAATGGGAGTGTTTACTCCCGAGTACATCCAATGCAACTACGTCCATTGGAAGCCACCAAATTGCACTACCGCCAATGTGAAGGATTTGGTGCTTATATTTCTTATATACCTTATATATATATATATATATTTCTTATATACCTATACCTTACGTGCCATATTACTAATCTTTTGAATGGTGGATTTTGCAACACAAGACGAGACGTTTACAGTTCAGTAAACTTTATTAACTGCAAAATGCAAAAATGTAAAACCAACAATACCGTTAAGTGCAATGCACTGTATTACAATTTAAACATTTAAAAATCACTCCTCTGTTGAAAAAGCAGTTTCGGATTAAACGTGGATGGCCTTTGCTTCGGGTTTTCCGTTTTTTGCTTCAATAAGTTGAGACAGACCTCTCCGACACAGCTACAGAAATAAAATTTGTGCAGAAACGAATCCTCAACGTTGCTGCCGTTCTTCCATATAAAGTTGACAGCGATCCAACAGGTATCCCTTTGAAGATCCCGTGACCCAGGATTGATTCATCAAGAATTTCTATTTGTTTCCTGGGATTGCCATTCGGATTTCTTCCATTGAGCACTCACTCCCCAGTCAGACTGTGAAGAGACAGTGTTACATATGTTAGCATGAATCGAGCCCTGGTCGACATATCTACATATTCAATGATAATCCTTATAAAATGCAAATCCTAATGTAATACTGTAGGGAAATAAAGCAATAAACATTGGCACAAGCCTTAGAATTACAGTAAATTTGCGTATGTTCTGTTTAACAAGCAACCCGACTTAATCACAGTACATTATTCCACAACTAACATTGCCAAAGCACTCTCTGAACGCCAACATCTCTCAACACCTATCATAACACAATGCGAACCAAACTCAAAGCCCTTCCTCTGGGGTCCTATCTCGTAGGCATCCAGAGGGACACCACCACCACAAAGTTGGTAATGCTGTCATCGAACAGGACCTGGGACCTGCTGAAACCCTGAAAGAACAGCTCAATCCTCTCAAAGGATCGATTCTTGCCCCAGACAACAGGTGGGTTCGATTATTATCCCCATCTCCACTGAACCACATCACCTGATACCATGAGAACATTTGAGCTTTTGGTCCCTGTGCTGTGCAGTCTCTCACCTGTTCTTATCGCATTTCGTTTCTATGGAATTATAGATATTTATAGTTACAAAAATGATCAAAAAACAGCCGGGTCACAGAGCTGAGTATTGCGAAGAATAATTCTCCACTTAACTAAAGATCCGATTGGCATTTCAGGCCATCAAATTAATGGACAATTAAACTGCAAAGCCTTACCTTAATGATACACATGCCAGAAGTACCCAAAAAGGGGCTTTGTCATAGCTTTTAAGTTGTCTGTATCTTCCCTCCAGAGCCATCTGCCACTGGAAATGTACCTGGGCTATTTGATACCCTACGATGTTTACTTTTTATTCCTAAAACCAAACGAAAACAGAATTACAAAGGCAAGCTGCCCTTGCCCTGTCTCGTGATGTGTTGTAATGTGTGTTTGACAAAGCTTGACTAGTTGTCAAAATTATTCAAATCCATGTAGCTGTGTCGGGTTGCAACGAAAAACAGTTTTTTTTTCTTAAACAATAACATGCAAATAAAAGAACTACATCAACCACACGTTTCTCGTGACAGTCAACTTCAACAACGTGAGCTCGAATTCCCTGTTATCCTGTAAGCAAACTTCACACCAGATTTCACAGGCAGATTTGCATTCCCCGAAATGCTATCTTTATGGGTTATTCCATCTTCGTTCATCCATCTCCAGTTTGCTTAACAGCAGACAATTCCTCTGCTGAACAGTAGAACTGCAGCAGCTGAGATTTCCCAACACTGATTCCTACCAACAGGGCAGTATTTTTGAGCCCAATGCCAATATTTATTACTCCCAAGATTGCCCCAGACCCATGCACACTCCAGCCCAGTTTGGAAATGTTCTGAAGGCAATCAACCTCTTTAATTAAGACTCAGCAGACCACAATTCCAACGTATTCGTCTTCAACTTAATATGAATAAGTTAATAATATTACAAAAAAAAATGTTGGTGGACTGCTGTGTGCAATGGACTGTCGCGTTTCACCCACTAAGTACACAGGCAACCACCTTACAATATATTCCGCAAAGCGCTTTGAGACATCTTGACGACGTGATAAGGCACTCTATCAAATGCAGAAATGATTATTATTAATCTGATTGATTTCACATTCCACCTACATACAAGGAATGTCCCTAGTGATGTGTGTACACGTTTTCTCATCAGCCTTATGGCATTGTACTTGTGCCCCATCAGCCACTTAACTATTTTTCTGCTCCCATCACCTGTTCTGCTATAACTTTTGCTGATAAAGGGGTCATGTTTCAAGGCTTGGATTCCGCCATGGGGCAGTTGTGCTTCGTTTACATCTTGACACCTTGTGGGACTTTGAGCAGTGAGTGGACAGGGGAAAGTTACCTAATAAATACGAATCAATTATAGATAACTTTCCGGGAGAGAAGAGCAGGACTCTGCAGATGCCATCTAATAATAATCTCAAACAAATGGATGAGATCTCTTCCCACTCGGCTACCACTAGAAATTATAGTGCTGGATTTCTGATTTCAGTACTGAAGTTTTGTCAACCTAATTACTATTATTATTTTTTTTGGGGGGAAACAACAGATTAATTCTTTATCTTAAAATAGCCACACTGTACGAAATGATTGCTTAGTTAATATCTAAGTATTATGGGGCAGACATGGGGTATCTACTGTTCTACTTTATTCTAAGTCACTGTAGGATAACTTTCCTGAAGCCATGGTTCGAATATCATTGCACCACAAATACATTTCCACGCAAATTAACCTATGTTTGTTAAAGTGGGATTCAGACCCACAAACATCTAGTGTTTTTTTTTTAAAAAACTGGATGCATTATATATATATATATATATACATATATATAAAAATAAAGGTAGAAAAACATTGAAAGACAAATGCAATACCTGTAAGTATTAAATCTATATTATATACACAAAGTATATATATATCTCTAGTAAAATGGAGAGATCCCTTGACCGATGTGTCCTCCTGTAACGTACTGACTGTCGTGTAGAATGACACGTGTCCAAACTGGTTCTCTGTTAAAAAACTGAACCAAAACATTGCAGATCGAACCAGCCCGAGGCCATCCTCCGCAGTGCATAAACTGATGGGTTTTGGGACTCTTCGATTCAGTGCGGTTGCATTTTTCTGTAGTGCGCAGCGGCCCCGAAACCCATGTGGTTTCATTCCAGTCCCAGGTAAGGTGATGAGTTTATGCAATTAGACAGAACACACCTTGATAATGATTATGTTGCTTTTTCAGGACCTCGTCGTGTTCAAAACGCTGCTCTCCCCTTCAAATAACACCCGCAAAACAGGAGCACATCACTTGACTCCTCCTGTCTGTGTGGTTGGTTTTGTTTAATATATATATATGTATATATAATGTAGGTTGTTAACTAAACTGACAAACTACCGAAGGCTTCTTCTTCCTCTGCAGAATTCTCCCTTAAAAAGTTATTGGGTTAATGCATTTTCCCTTTTGCATTGCGTTTTAAATAATATCGAATTAAATAATATCGAACTAAAGCCACTGCTGTCGTGGGCAACTGTGGAAAGATTTTCTGTGGCTATGTAAACGATAACGTCTCTGATGGGTGTGAATACATGAAGGGGAATTTATTTGGGAGGGCATTTTATTTCACTGTTTATTTTACTGTATTTTTTTTCACTCGCTAAATACAAATCCTATTTTTTTTTGTGTGCTGCGAGAGTTTGGAGATGCT